GCAAGTTTGAGGCAAAATGGGCTGCACAGCAAGACCCTGTCTCAAAAAAAAAAAAAAAAAAAACTGGGGTTGAACCTGTAACCCAGCGATGGAGCACATGCATAGCATGTGTAGGCCTTGGGTTCAATCCCAACACTGGCAGAAACAGGGAAAATGGGGCTAAAACTGAAGTGATTGCATCCTGCTGGCTCATCGCTGTCGTCATTCAGTTTGGTGTGTGACTGTTTAAGAACACAAGCCAAATAGGAATCTCCCTCATTACAAACACCAAGGTAAGCGTTCTTCCCTCCTGCGTAGCTTGCTGGGCATTTAACTGGCATTTCCGTGTTACCATCCAGGCGGATTAAGCATTGCCTTTGATTGTCTTTGGTCAGCTCCGAGATTCTCAGTCGGTCCTCCTAGGTACCCTTTACCAAGGAAGAGTAAAGGCAGAGAGAAATAGAGACCACATCCCCAGTGAACCACTAAAAAAAGAAAGAAAGAAAAAAATCTCTGTGCTTCCTTTTGAAGCCTCCTTTTCACCTAGAAGAATAAAGTATTTGTGTAATATTGTATTTTATAACACAAACCTAAGTCATAAGATACTTAAAGTATTCTGTGCTCAATTCTAGAAACACTGAACTGACTGTGTACAATATGTACTTATAAATACGCATATACATACACCCCTAATGGAACTCTGTTCACGTGTGGTTCTGTCTCCGTGTCGTGGCGCATTTAATAACATTTAAAATGACACACAAGAAATGAAAAGGAATCCAGAGGCCAGTGTGGTGGTCCCTGCCTGTAATTCCAGTACCCCAGAAGGTGAGGCTGGAAAGTGAACTTGAAGCCAGCTTGAGCATCACATGGATTTTGACAAAGGCATTCGAGGTTGGCTCTCCTACTGTTGCCTAAGTCCCTCCTCCACTCAGCAGGAGCTCTCGGTTCCATCATCTCTGCTTTTCTCTCTCCCCACTACTCCAGCTTCATCACCACCTCTCTGCACCCCACCTCTCTGCACCCCACCTCTCTGCACCCCTCCTTCTCTCCCACTGAATTCTTTCTTCCTTCTGCCGTGGACCCACCTCACCTTTCCAGAGGAGAACTGCTCACCCCCACCCCATCCTCATCCCACCCCCGCCACCTTCTAGTTCTAGGAGCAGGCAGAGGTGAAAGGAGGCTGGGTGCAGAGTGATGGGGAAGGAGCAATGATGGGGAAGGAGCAATGATGGACCAACTAGGTGGGTTTTCTGGGCAGAGAGATGGACAGCTCGAAACATCCCCATGTTAATTGTCTGTATCCTGTTATAACATAGAAATATTTTGCTCCATCTTTAATAAATAAATTAATTAATTAAAAAAAAGAAATATTTTGCTCCATGCTCTGTACTGGTGACAGGTTAATATATCATATTGCTCACGTTTTTGGAAGTTTGGGAGATAATTCAATATTCTATCTACCACCGTCAATCATTATGTTAATAGTGGTAAAATATATCTTAATCCAAATATGAATTCTTACTTTAATTGTAAATTTTTTTAAAAAAAAAAGCTTTGGAGTTCGTATACAACTGTAAATAACCATTTTCTTTTTCTGATCACATGCTGTATGGAAAATCAGGAAATCATCAAGATAAATATCATTTTTATATAACAGTCTTTGTGTGTGAACCCGTGTACCCCTGTCACAAATAATGGTTGGCTTCCCATAGTGTCACTTGAAAAACATCATTTTCTATGTGCCAAGCAGCCAAACGTTCAACATGGATGTCATGAAAAGAAGTCACTGGGTTTTCCTTCTGAATGGTTAGCTCAGTGCCCACCTTGAACAGACTGTATCTTAGCATGCAGGTGACTGGAACAATATTATTGCTGATTTCTTAAACTGTGGCAAGCATTAATTGTGAACCTTTCTTTGGTGTTTTATTATACAAAATATTGGTGACTGGTAAAGACCATTTAGTTACATTTACTTGTTCAATGTGTATATCAGGTTCCTTCTGTAGAAAAGGTTCTGGGGTAGTAGCTGGCGGTGGAAGATCACACAAAGATGATAGGCAAGGAACTAAAAAAAAAAATCCATGAACCTGATAAATCATCCCTAAAAATACTAGTGATGGTGCATACTACAGTCTGAGCACGTGGGGAGATTTGGGGTTCAGAGCCACTCTGGACTATACAATCACACCGCTGGGTAGAAAATGTCCAGTGTCTCAGAAGAGTTTAGAAAGTGTCCAGGAGTCTTAAGAAGAACGGGGTGACTTAGAGATGGGAGGTTCGAAGAAAGCATTTGGGAGAAGGGGCGGTTGATCTTGACATTGATGGCTGTGTATGTGGACATGTAGAAAGTGCAAAGGATTTTGCAGGTGGGAATCTTAAAATCAGGAACTACTTAGATACAGGATGGAGTGACTTGGTTCGATGTGAGAGGAAAGGAGAGAGGGGATTTGACAGCAACTAGGCTCTTCTTACCAGCCGGCAGATAATCAGAAAAGGACAGGGGTTCGGGCACTGACGAGCAGGTATGTGAGGCTCTAGGAGATTATCGGAGGAGAACTGGGAAAAGCAGGTTAGGCAGAAGGACCACAGGCCCAGGATAGTCTGGGCAGTGTTCTGAACGTCATGTGAGGGCTACGGTGGTCAGCGTGTGGGGAAAGCAAGACAGACCGTGAGATGAGGAGGAAGGAAGGATGGGGACTATTCAGACAGGAGCTGGATGCTGAGCCAGGGAGTTGGTGTTTCACCCACACAGGCAAGAATAACGTTTCTGAGAAAAAAAAATTTTCAGACAGGTGGAGCGTGGCTACGGGCTCAGCAGACTTCTGAAATAAACGGCCTACTTGTAAACATTTTAGACTGTGATCCACATAGTCCCTGTTAGCAATCCTTCCTCTGGTATTTCCTCTCTCCTTCCTCTCCTCACTACATCTCCACTCCTCCCTCTTCTCCTCCCTCCATCTCTTTCCCTCCTCCTCTCTCCATTTCCTTCCTCTTCCCCTTCTATCCCTCTCTTCCCTCCCCTTCTCTCTTCTCTTCCTTTTACCTTTCCTCTTCCTTCTGTCTCCTTCCTTCCTTCTCTCATTTTTTCTTTTTTAGACAGAGTTCAGGTAGCCCATGCTGGTCTCAAACTCCCAAGGCAGTGGAGAGTGATTTTGAATTTTTAATCCTCCTGTCTCCACCTCCCAAATGACTTTTTTTTTTATTTTTATACAACCCTCTAAAAAGTATAGAAAACCATTCTTCCTCCTGGCCATACAAAAACAGGCCCCAGCCTTCCTTTGACCTTCTGTCTATATAGTCCTGAGGACTTGAGTGGAAAAACAGAAGTCACTGAAACCTAAAACATGGCTGTTGGGCTGAACAGAGTGGTCTGGACTAGGGCCTGCTGGGAAGAGATAGGGATGAGGAAATGGATGGGAAGCCCTGAAGCAGATCCTCTCAGTGACTGGATTAGAGAGATTCGAAAGAAAGTGTAGATCAGACGTGGTTTAAGGATTCTGGCTTAAAGACCAAGTGCCTAAGTGCGGTCCTAGTGTCACCTCACACCAAGATGAGGGAAGAGTTGAGAGAAGGTGTGATGGTTTCCTGGCTGCTGAGCCCAGCGTGTCTGGGTACCGTCTGGGTGAAGGGTGCCTGCAGTCAGGTGATTCTGTGGACGGGCTACCCCATTCCATTCACAACATGTGTCTCACAGGGAGTCTCTGAGGGGATGAACACAAAGGTTGGGTGCCCCAAGAGGCTGCAGGACAAGGGAGCGCACTACTTAGGAATACCACCCAGCACTGGGATGTGAGATGGTTGGAGAATCTGGTGCCTTGGTTACCACTCCTCCTCAGCCTAAGCAAAGGGAGAGGAGAGTCTCACAGTGGTGAGCATCAGGCACTATACTGAGTGGAACAGAGAATGGGACAGAATCATGAGCCTTAGCACTTTTCAGAGAGGAGTGTACAGAGCCTTTAATCCCAGCATTCAGGAGGCAGAGGCATGTGGATCTCTGTGAGCTCAAGGCCAGCCTGGTCTACAGAGTGAGTTCCAGGATAGCCAGAGCTGTTACACAGAGAAACCTTGTCTCAAAAAGTCAAAAAGAGAGACAGAGAGAGAGACAGAGAGAGGAGGGGGGAGGGATGGAGGAAGAAGGAGGAAGAGAGAGTGAGGAGAGAGAGGACAGAGGGCCTTTTGGAGCATCATCCTCAATTCCTGGTTACAAGCATCATGACAGCCTGTCCTTTCACTGGCTCCTTTTTAGAAGTTTTGCTAAGTGGCACAAATGTGCTCCATCATATGTGATTTGAAAATCACCCTTGATAATAACTCTGTGACTTCCGTATGATGCTGTGGTCACTGAGCCATTTGAAGGATGCTTTCTGTCCTACAAAGAATCCACCCAAGTGTTGCCTGATGGTAACTTTACAATCCTTCTGGAGGTCAGATAACGACTGGATTTCCTCTTAGGGCACACCGTACCAATGCTTTCTGATTCTTTCAGTTTCTGCAGAATAGCCAATCGTACTGTAGAGGAGGACAGCTATGTCCCGCCTGCAAAACACTTGGCATCTCCTCCATTAACAGGCTCGAGAAAACGTAGAGAAAAATATAGGCATATATTTGATGAAAGAGTTGGGAAAATGACTGTAAGCTTCTGGAAGGTAGGCGCATCTTTGAAGCTGTCTTTAAGCCTAGGCAGAGCTCAGTCAAGATCACATGCATGCATGTTGCTGGCCTTCCCATTATCCTGTCCTGTTAGACCTGAAGTTTCTTACTTTAACTGTTCTCCTAAAGAGTTCATTGAGATGCCGTGACTCTATGCCTCTGTCTTCCCAGGGTGGTAAGCTTCTGTGTGAAGAATACACAGCTGCCTCTGTCCACACTGCACGCCTCATGCTAACACTCAGGATGCTTGGTGGTTACAATAGAAAGGGCACACATCACTTTTTTTTTCTGTCTGTTTGGCAATTAACCATTCACTGGCTTCTTTTTTTGTTGTAACATGCACTTCCTTTCTCTTGTTTTCATTCAAGCTATATACGCCATGGAAATTAATGTGGAGACAGACAAACAGACAGGAGAGACCAAGATTCTCTCTGCATCCACCATTGGCCCAGAGGGGGTCCATCAGAGAGGAGTCAAAGTCTATGATGATGGTACCAAAGTAGTGTATGAGGTGCACTCAGGAGGCACCGTGGTAGAAAACGGAGTCCAGAAATTAAGCGCAAAGGACGTGGAAGAACTCATTCAGAAGGCTGGACAATCAAGCTTCAGGGGACACATGTCGGAAAGGACTGTTGTTGCGGATGGGAGCCTGGGCCATCCCAAGGAACACATGCTCTGCAAAGAAGCCAAGTTGGAAATGGTACAGAAATCCAGGAAAGACCCCCCTTCGGGAAACCCCGGGCAGCAGGCTCAGCCCGCCAGCACGGAAGGGCCAGAGGCAAACCTGGATCAACCCGTCACCATGATTTTTATGGGCTACCAAAACATCGAAGATGAAGAGGAGACTAAAAAGGTGCTAGGCTACGACGAAACCATCAAGGCCGAATTAGTCTTGATCGATGAAGACGACGAGAAATCGCTAAGAGAGAAGACAGTGACGGACGTGTCCACCATCGATGGGAACGCGGCCGAGCTGGTGTCCGGGAGGCCCACGTCAGATACCACAGAACCCTCATCCCCAGAAGGCAAAGAAGAGAGCCTGGCCACAGAACCAGCCCCAGGTACCCAAAAGAAAAAGCGCTGTCAATGCTGTGTTGTCATGTGACCACTTCTTTCTCCTTCCCTTTCTTCCGGGCAGCCTCTCTACTCTCCACCTCTTAAATAGAGCTCACTGTACCACTAACTGCGATACTGTGAACTGGAAGCAAACACCTGCCTTGCCTCACAGTTGGATTTGCTTTGATCTCTCACTCACATCTTTCCTTCTCACTTGGGAAACAACGTGCATGTGTGTGCTTCATTTTTTTTTTTCCTCCCCAAGAACTTACTTTCTCCTCTAAGTCTTTCCTTGTGTCTTCAAGAGTGAATCAGTGCGGTACTGCTCAGTTGGAGTGGACTCTTCACGGCGACTGGTTTATAATAGCCTTAATTGACTTGAGTGGACTCAAACCCGTTGGCACTGGGGGTTTTCATTTTGGCGTGTGCTCCTCTAACATAGACACACACACACACACACACACACACACACACACACTGCCTCTCACCTGCCTCTTTTGCCGTGTGGATGGATCTTTGTTTTTATATCTTGTGTAGCAAAATGCGGTGGGCTCTAGCCGGTTGCTAGCGTAGCCAAAAGCGGGCCTACCTTCATCTGGCTGTTCTAGGATGACACGTTTTCTTTGCTGCCTTACAGAAGCTTCCAGACTACAGTGTTGTGTTTTCCCTTATGTAAAAACTGAAGCGAAGTTGACTCAAAAGCAAAGAACCCAGCGCCTGTCCCAGCTAAAGTGTAGGGACTGACTTCTCCCCTGCCAGTCAGCAGCTCTTTCTCTTCCTGTGGCTTGCCCAGTGTACAAAACCCTTTGTACAGGTTTTTCTAAGGACCTCAGGCCACCGTGGTTTTCAGCATCTGTAGTGCTCACCAATCCATAAGCCCTACTTCCATACTCCCCAAAATGGAAAGTTTTATATTTTTTTTTCATGGATATTTTCTGATTGAATTCATCTATTTTCAAAGAGGGGATCATTTTGAGAAGTCTCTCTGCAGTGACCATATTTCTTAAAACAGTCTTTCTGACCAATGGGGGCTGCCATTACACCCCTACCATATCCAGGATGGTGCTGTACGCATTAGCAGTTCGTCTCCCCGGCCCAGCTGATTAGTCTTGCATCTGTGCTTTTTAAAAATTACTTCGTTATGTCCCCATGGGTAGGAGAATGCTTGGGGTAACTTCAATGTGTAGTTTTCTCCACTCTGAAAAATAAAAAAAGTCCAAGCAGTGGTGGCACATGAGGAGGATCTCTGTGAGTTCAAGGCCAGCCTGGTCCACAGAGTGAGTTCCAGGGCAGTTAGGGCTATGCAGAGAAACCCTGTCTCAACAACAAAAAATAAAATAAAATAAAATAAAATAAAATAAAACAAAAAACAGAGGTTTTTCAATGTCAAAAATGTTGAAAGAGGAAGAAAGGTCTTAAATTCTTCCACATGGTCTGACTGAGTAGCAAATTTCTAGGTTTCTTCAATATCTGAGAATTCTAAAATATCAAGGAATTTTTTGACCTAAAGCATGATGAACAGCCCTTGAAATACATTGTTAGCATCGCCCCAACCTGGACACCCACATGTTTAATGGAACCAAAGGGAAGGAATTTAGAAAAAGAACCGTAGTCCAGGAATAAAATGAAATAGCGGTGTGTTCATTGATTTTAGAGATAACTTTATTTACCCAGACATTCATAATATCGTCACAAATCAATACCAGAATCACACATGTTCCCATGGAATATAGCCTCAAGAACCATACACTTGATCTCCCACATCAAGTCTCAACATATCTGAAAAATAGCTCAGAAAAGAATTCTAAGGAAGCCTGGAGAATCGCAGTACAGAACCAACTACATTTGTTTCATTTAGCTTCTCTGAGGACAAATCTGTTATTTTGTCCATTTCTTGGTTTAAAGTTATATTTATTACGATTAAAGAGAAATGACATTTTTATCTTTTTTTCTCAAGTCATTTCATTTTTACTGAGCACGTGAGTCAAATCTTTAATATGTAAACAAGAAAAATTAAAAAGGAAGAGCAAAGGAATGAACTAAGTTTCTCAGATTGTCCCTTCCACGGTTTCCCTGAGGAAACTGAAGAATTGTCACTAGGTCTGGGCTTCGCAAGCACAGCTGCCGGAGAATGCAGCGACTCTGTGGTCTGGAAGCCTGGTTCCGGGGCCACAGCCCTTTTCCTCCACAGGTGGTTAAATAGCACACAAGCCTGGACTAAAACGCCACGTAGACAAACCCATTTCCACAACAGGAGAGACTAGTCCCCGTGGCTTCAGACAATCTGCCATTTTAAGAATTCATTTGGGAAATTTACAATCTACAGGTTTCCTCTGCCTATCTCTTTTGCTTTCCTGGGGATTTGGACTGCTCAATGTGAGGTTGCAGAAGCACAGTGAGGGAGTGGATGGCAGAGCTTGATCTTTGGAACTTCGTAAGAAAACTACTTGTCTATGACGACAACAGTCTGTACCTCCCCCTCTTCGTAAGATCTCAAGGACCAAGGATAGTCTGCCATCATCTGTTGGTCATTATTAGTATGAGCAAGTGACTGGCAAACTGTGAGTTAGGATTTGCTCTAACGTTTTGTTGTTTAAAAAAATATCATTTAATTGAAGTAAGACCTAGTGCCCTCATTAAAATTATTTGTGGCTACAGTAAATGAAAGTATTTTTGAATATGGCAGATGTTTGCATACAATTCCAGTCTCTGTGGGGGATTCAGGCTCAGCAAATCCTCCAGCAGCCCATCTACAGCATCAAGTTATGGCCTTGATGACGAAACTGTTAAACAGGATTGTAATCATGACTCTGCCACTCCCATGACTATTGACAGTGTCTGTCTGTCTGTCGTCCCCCCCCCCATCTGTGGTATTACCCCTTCTAGAAGCAAAGTATGTGGTTGTGTGGTCGCATAACCAGAGTAAAGAATCCATGATGATATTGCCAAACCACAATCTCGTTTTGAGCTAATGTTAGTTAGGCTGTTCATTAAAATATAAGTCATTTCCACCCAACCTAGTGGAGCACACCTTCCATCCCAGTATTAGAGAGGCAGAGGCAGGAGATCCCTGTGAGTCTGGGGTCAGCCTGATCTATATAGAGTAAGTCCAGGCTAACCAGGGTTACATAATGAGACCCTGCCTCAAAAACAAAAAACAAAACAATAAAAAAAAAGACAAAAATGTACAGAAACACATATATGTGTGTATAATATATATGTGTATATATATTATTTAATCAGTTCCCTTTTAAATAAAAGAACAAAAAGGAGGAAAGGGGTATTGTTTATTTTTATTTTAATGGTATTTAATTAGACCCTTTGACAGTTGTGATGGCCAAATCTGGCCCTACATATATATCTAAAGAATCTTCATAACTTGAATGTTCTTGACATCTTTTTCTTAGGGAATTCTGTTTTAAACTTTTACACACAAATGTATCATTTTCCTTATGTAACAACAAAAAACAAATTGCTTCTCAGATGGTTGGCTGGTATCCGGTGAGTCCACTTATCATCGGCAGTGTCCAGGAAAGGGCCAAAAATTCCCTTCTGTATTGAGGCTTTACAAGAAGGGAAATGTGTAGATAGAGAGCTTCCCAGGGATACGGTATCATCTCTGGGACAAAACTCTGGAGGCAAACTCCTTCACTTCCTGAAGAAGTGTCTTTTCAGGAACCACAGAACATTCCTGAAAGCTATAAATAACTTAATGCCAGAATCAATGGTTATGAGAAACACAAAGGACAGAGTGAGGCAGTTGATAAAGGTGAAATGTCGAAGTACTTGCCTTGGCCCTTCCTTCTTAATGAACACTGACCCTGTCCATTTAAAACATAGAGGAAAATAGGCAGAACACACAGTGAGGACACATTTTGTTGGCATTGTCCTCACTTAAAACCTAGGCAGTGAGTCACCTCTGTTCGTGGTTGTCCCACTGGAGGATTTAACTCACTGGCGTGCTCTTTCCTGGTAAAAGCACCCCCATCTCCGGCAATGTCAGTTTACAGTTTAAGCCATTCCAAGGTGAACAGTTTCATATTGTATTTTTGTAATACTTACATTTATAACTGAATCCATAAATTCCAAGCATTTTAAAGAGATAGGTTTCAAAACTTTATAAATATGCCGTTATTTGAAAACGCCATGGTCTGTTAGTCGAGGTGTGTTGATTTGGACAGACTATGGAAGCATCCTTTGTTCTACTGGGTTAGTAAACACCGCAGGGGCTTTGACGCTGTGGGTACATAGAAAACAGCTCAAAACAATGAGAAAACTCGGATCTTAGGTTTTTGCTGGCAGTTTTCCTTCATAGCCCAGCACTTTTTAGGACTTACCAGGAAGGCCTACTTGTATCTTGTGAGGAAAAACTAAAATCCCTCCTTAGAAGAGTGTGGTTTCTCATGGCTTCAGCAAACTTGTCAAATCCCACTTCACTAAAACCCCACATGGTGCTTGTTTGGATGCAGAGGGGTATAAAGATTACATCCTGAAATATTTAAAGGAAAATTCCACGAGTGATCTCCCGGGGAAAGTCCCCCGGCTTCATTTTCACAACTCCAGAGGCCTCTGATTCCTTTCCAGTCTAGCACCAGAGGGTCAGAACTGCCACACAGAAACCTCGCTGTCTAGGTGAGAACATAATTGAGGGACCACAGACCTTCTGCATCCGAGACAGCATCTGGACCGCCTTAACTTTTGTAGTAATCATACTGATGATAGTAACAATAATAACAATGATTTTTTTTTCCACCGTTTCCTCTTACTAAGCAGGAGAGCAAACTATCTCCTGCTGTCGAGGACTTTTGTATCTTCTGTGACGGTTTCTAAGTTTCTACAGGCTGAGGCGTGAATGGTCACTTCTTCCCCTACTTCCCCTGAATACTCACCTAGGGTGTTAGTCATTCTGTTTGTTTTGTTTTTTTGTTTTCTGCAAGTCACTGCATTTTTTTTAAGTCTAAAGAAAAGCATCTGTCTCACCAACCCTAAAATTCTCCCTAGACCC